ACAAACATGAAACGAAACATGAAATATTACAAACCTTTTCATTTTGATATGCTGTAACAGCAATAAATTCAGTTTCTTTAAAAACATATGTACGAAATGTACTATATGGTAATTTTAATAGATCATTTGCACGGACTAGATGAAAACGTGGCTGATATTTATGCATTGAATTTAATATTGTCTATGGTTTTGCAAAGGATTCTCGATTAGCAAAAAAGAAGAGAAAAATACATTGCACTGTGAATACTTACAAAACCATGTTTATCAGCAATATTATTAGTTAATTTAAGTTTATGAAATGAAACAACTTTTTGCATCCATTGTTCACCAGTGGATGGTGAATCTGGATGTATATACATTCGTTTAGGCATTTCTGGATCTGCCTTGCCGGCCATAACCCAACGTGAATTATGAAATTTATAACGACAATCATCAGCAGCAACAATATCCATTAACATTATATATTTGGCTTTTTTATCCAAACCCGATACACGTATACGAAATGATGGAAACATTCTTTTTTTTGGATGGAAAAAATGAAGGGAAAAAAATGAAAAAAATTATTAGTTAAAATCAAAACAAAAAATTTTACTTTATTTTTTTTACAATCATTCTATATAGAGTCAAAATGTTTCTATTTTCATCCAACCATGCTATTGAACTTTCATGGAGAATCGTTTCGCTTGTAAAGCAAACTCAGTTTTCCAAAAAAAAATTCTTTGTGCCCTTCATTTTACTTCCTTGACGGCAAAAGATCAATACCACTACTACCACCCAGCACCATCATCGATAAATTCCATTTTCAATGACGCCCTGATCAATCGATCGAAGTGAAAAAAGTAAATAAATAAAAAAAAACTTTCCAAGGAAAAAAATGAGAAATATTTCCAGAATCAAGACCCTCAAAAGAAAAACTGGAAACACTAATGTTAATATAGTGTTTTATTTGAAACTTTTTTTTTGTCAATGGCTAAACACCATCAGCCAAACAATGATTATTACCATTATTATCAACAACAACAAAAATGATAAAATCTTGTTGTTGTTAAGGCCCAACAACAACAACAAGAAAAGAATGGAAAACGTTTTTTTTTCCGAGTTTCATTCATAATCCTCTTATATTCATTATACAACAACTTTTTTTTCTTTCTTGATGGAACTGTACGAAAACAAAGATTTTCAGGTTTGAGTTTTTGCTGAGGGATTTATGAATGAATGGCTGGCTGAATAGTAGAGAAAAAAAATCTCTGACCGCCAACTTTTCGTTATTTCTATTTTGCTATTTTGACAA